CCCCCCTCCAAAGATTTATCTTTTGGAGCTTATATGCTGCCTCTGTCTTGTACTCAGGTTTTATGGGAAATTATTCATTTTCCTGGCTCAACTTTTTCTTTTTCTTTTGGTGAGACAGGGTTTTGTGAATGGTTGTACCCAACACAGCAAGCAATTTGTGACTGTCCCTTCATGGCAACCATCTTGAGAAGATGTTGAGAACAATTCACAAATTCCAGATGGGGCCGGCAGCCTAAAAATATTGGGGACCCCTGCCTTGGTTCTCTGGTGGTCCAAATCTTGCAGTGTGATGGTATATTGATAAGACTTGGAAAACTGTTGAGACAAAGAAGTTTCAGAGAGATGCTCTGGTTGAACACAGAAATTCAACCCAAATCCAATGGCATGTGCTATTACTGGCTTTTTGGGCCCTTCTTGGTGAAAACAGATTTAAAATAAAACCCTGTTCTAAAGAATTATCCTAGGAAAGGTTTATTGTTATAAACTAAAGGCCCTCTGTGTGTGTTTTATTTTTAGCCAAGAAAGTTTTTTTTGGAGCCACTTTGAATTCTTTCTGGCGTTGTCCACTTAGAGAACAATGTGATGTGCACCACTGAATGTTGGCATCTAACCACAGAAGAAAGCCCAAGGCTCACAAACTCATGTCATTAGAAAAAGGCATGCTGAAAACAAAAACAGCAGTAAATATGTTTGAAAAGCTCAACTTGTTTTGCTTCTTTTCTGCTTCCTGTGGGATAAGAAGAAGGCTAAAACCCTCATTTCTTTTTCATGGATTAGAGAAGCAAGCTCCCGGGTAACCATTGTTGTATTGTAATCTCCTGGCCTACCCAGAACATTCTTTGCAAGTGCCAGCAATTTTTGTTGTTGTTGTTGTATATTTATCTTGATTGTTGTATATTTATCTTGATGCAGAATAATTTGTGCAGGCTAAACCCACAGCGTTATCTTTTCCTTCGTACACTGTTTTCTCAAAAATGGTAGGAGTTGGGCATTTAAAAAATAATAATCATTTGGTTTTTCCTTTCCAACAACAACTTTTGTTCTCAGGTCAGGTATAATCAAAGCATCCCTGTAGTAAGAAAAGAGTGTCAGGCAGTGCAATGTTTGGGAAACAGAGTCAAGTTTTAAGGGATTAGTCTTCCCAAAATTCCTGACAATAAACAGAAATTTTAGGGGTCTAGTCAGACAGTGCCAGATGTACACAAGAGCTAAGTAAGCTACAGCCTAAATATGCTGATGGCATCAGATCCTGTTTGATGTTAGAAGCTTAAGCAGGATCAGACCTGGTTAGTAATTGGATGGGAGACCACCAATGAAAGCTAAATGCTGTAGGCTATATGTCAAAAGCATGCAATGACAAACCACCTCTCAGGACTCCTTGGCCAAGAAAACCCTATGAATGTTATAAATTGACAGGCAACCACAACTGAGAGGCAACTTGAAGGTCTTACTGGTAATACTAAGAAAGCCACAGTTTGGGGCAATGTGGTCCTCCAGATGTGGTTGGACTACGCCTCCCAGCATTCATCTAACAAACCCCTCCAGGTTATTTTTTTTAAAAGACATTGGAGACTGCTGCTAATGTTGGATGCAGTTTGCCCATCTCGAAATATACTTTCCCCCTCCTATGACCTGCATTTTTTCCCCTGAGCAGCAGGAGTGATAGTTCTAGCTCTCAGTCTGTGACAACTCTGTCAATAGTCTTTTCTGAGTATTTCAATAATGGCCTTTCTGGGGAGGGTTTATGTGCCATGTCACTGGACTTGTCCTCCTTCCTCCTCCCTTCCTGGCTTAGCTTGGGGGGGGGGATCATACAGTCCTCCCAGTGCTTTTGGACTGAATGTCCTCGTAGATCTAGCCATCATAGTCAAGTGGTGATGGAAACTGGGAGATGCTGTCAAACAGTAGTTGTTGGAGAGTGGAGAGATCAATGCAGACACATCCAACGATTTTCCTGCAGCTGGACAGCTGCAAGAGACTTTCTTAGGGATTTCCAGGTGTCCTCAGGAGACCCTTGAAGATGATATCCTTTCCATCCAGGTATGGAAAAACAGCTGGATGCACCTCCGCTGTTCCTCCTTCTCCAGCAATAGGGAAATAGCTATGGCTGCATCATTTCAAAGATGGGTTAGTCAATTGGTCATTAATTGGTTGGCAAATAATTTCATCCTCCACAAAGACTGTAAAAAGTGGGTTACAATAGCTTAATTTTATTGCCTGTTTTTGACTGGGCAGAACTGCCATTAGAGAGTGAAGTGAAGTATGTGTATGTGTGTGTGTATTTGTTAAAGGGGCTACTTTTGAAGTAAAATTGCTCACCTTTCACTGTCATAAAGTGACTGCTAATTTATTTGGGGCTTAGAGAAGACTTCTAGTTATATTCATTGTAAACCCCCCCCCCCCCATTATTACCAAGGCCCTTTTGGTTATCGAGAAATTTAGTCATTAAGTAAAAATAATTTGACAATCCTGGATTAACACATCATACAGAGAATCACTGTCTCATTTGTTTGCTAAAGCTGGACACGCATAACACATAGGCACAGATGTACTGATGCACTGCAAACAATGAAGGCATAGAGTCATGGACACCCCCACAGATTTCTACAATCATGTTCATTCAGAGGTAAACTTTAAAAATTGAACTTTAAAGCTGCCTATGGAATTCTGGGATTTGTTGTTTTGTAGGATATTTAGTCTTTTCTGTCAGAGAGCTCTGGTGCCACAACCAACTACAAATCCCAGGATTCCATAGCATTGAACCATGGTGGTTAAAGCAGTATCAAGCTGGAATTAATTCTCCGGTGTGGCAGCAGCCTTTGTCGCTATTTTGCTGTTCAAAGCTACTTTACCAGGCATCAGCTGCGTGGGGAAAAGGAGGTCCCTTCTGCCAGTAACTGGAGTGTGAGTGATTGACTTTTCTGTCAGGTTTGGAGAGGTCAGGCTAGGAAAAGTTACTTAGTTTAGTATACAACTACGTACGTGATATAGGATAACTAGATGATTGGCTTTTGGTGAGGGCAGGAGGAGATTTCCTGAAATTTGTCCAAATTAGGGCTGTTGTTGCTGTTGTCATCATCGTCGTCATGTGCCTTCGAGTCATTGCTGACTTATGGTGACCTTAAAGCGAATCAATCATCGGGTTTTATTGGCAAGATTTGTTCAGTGGAGGTTTGCTATTGCCTTCTCCTGAGGCTGAGAGCATGTGACTTGCCCAAGGTCACCTAGTGGGTCTTTGTGGCTGAACTGGGAATTGAACCCTAGTCTCTAAAGTCATAGTCCAACACTCAAACCACTATGCCATGCTGGCTCTGCTTAAACCCTGGAACTGTCAACCTTTTTCACCACAGTCTACCAAAATTTTCATCTCTTCCACAAGATTCACCAATCACTCTTGTACTAGAGACTAGGGTTCAATTCCCAGTTCAGCCACGAAGACCCACTAGGTGACCTTGGGCAAATCTTGTACTAGGAAGAAGAGGAGATAGCTATTTTTAGGGACAGATTGGTTACACATTGCTGGACAGCTCTGTTCCGCTTGACAGAGAGAGGGGGCCAATGCCAACTTTAAATGTGGCAGCATGTTTCTATAACAGCATCCCAGGCCTACTGCGAGCATGGTATGCCTAGTGTTTTAAAATCTTTATAAAATGTAGAGGAGGCTCAAATCAAGAATGTGACCTTTGGAGGAGGTGTGCAATCGTATCTTTTCTCTCTCTCTTTTTTGCCATGCTCCATGCACACTTTCGCTTGGTCCCACAGCTAATTCACTTGACTCATGGCCCAATCTGGCATACTTGGAATTCCTCAGTACAATTGTCATCATTAATGATTGGAAGCCACAAGCAAGCCCAGTCGAGCAACACCTGTACATTACGAAAGCTGATCGACAAGGAGTCTATAGGTTTATTTGCAACAGAACTATTCAAAAAAGGGGTGTATTTTCGTCCTTGCTTGTTGGTTTTTATGGGTGGAATTACTGGGGGGAGGATGCTAAAAAAACAAACCCCATACCCTTTTCTACAAATGAAACATGGCTTCAACATCTCTGGCATCTTGCTGATGGCTTATTTTACCCAAGACATCTGGGAGAATGATTAACGTTTCATTCGGGTCAGGTGTTCTTTGTTGTTCCTATTGCCCTGCTCCCCCCACATGCGATTCTAGATAAATGGTTGGAACTTAGTATTCAATAATGCTGCCTTTGTAAAATGCCTGATGGATGAGGTAATAAGGTTGCGGAACTGAGGTCAGTGCATTTAGAGCAAGGCGAACACTCTGGGATTTTCCCCAAACCTTTCGGACAGTAGAGAAAGAAGTTTGCCAAAAAAAAAATAAAAAATAAAAAATAAAAATGAAAGGGAGATATTTGAGAAATGTTCTTGTCCCCCCCCCCATCTGTTTTCTTTAGCACAGTCTATTATGCAGAGGCATAGCTGCATTGAATATTTAAGCAGTCTAAAAATAAGCATTCTTCCTCTGTAGAATCCTGGAAACTCATAATCCCTAGCAAAGGATTAGGAAGCTAGGAATCTGGTGCACTGGATCATCCAGACTCTCGTGGAACAAAGGATCTTAGGTTGGAGGAAGCGGTGACAGTAAATCTAGAGTTACACAGTAGAAATGTGTAACACATTTATGTTTTTCTTGCTTATTCATCTAACACTCCCCACTATGTCCAGACGACAAATATCTTTTGGGTACTAGGCAGAAATCTACCAGAATGAGTTTTATCAAGTAGAGGCAGAGATGAGAAAATCTCCACCATCTGGATTCTCCTACTACAGTTAGTAAAGATGAAGGAGAAGAATCCCTGTGGGAAGAGAGAAGAGAGTAGCATATCAAATATAGGCAGAGCATGAGCTCCGGGGGTGTAGTTATGGGAGGTGAGGACATGGCACCACCAAATAAGACTACCCCAAATAAAATTTTCCTTCATCCCCCAAATTTCTAGTATTGTGATAACTTAAAGCCTCAGCCAAGCCTTTAGAACCACAGTTTAGCCATCCAAAGAAAAAGATTAGGCAAAGGTACTACGAGAATGCAAACACAACAATGATAAGAGTTCTAAGTGTGAATGATTTTCCGTGAATTGCTGTCTGTATTGCAAACATTTTGGGAATGAAGGAATATTTCATTGGGGGGGCAGAATTCTTACTGGGGGCAATGTCCTTATGCCCTTTCCCCATAGCTACACCCTTGATGAGCTCTAAACTGGAACTGATGAACTTCACATTCAACAAGTACAGATATAAGCATGTTTTAAAATTTCCCATGTAAATCAATATGGCTTCCTGAGCCATTTTAGTCATCCATCCAGGAGGATTAATTTATGGAGATGGCAGTGTGGGGCAATGGGGGAACAGGAATATGTTTGGTGTTAAACCTCATGGGCCTATAATGGCAGGGCCCAGAGCCAGTCCTCTGTGATACATCCGAAAGGGCAGAGTGCTCCTCCAGTTGTTCAGACAGAGAGGGTTATTTGGGACTTGCAAAGGGAAGACATCTGGGTGGTGGACCTTAAGTGAAAGGAGACCTCTTGTAAACAGGTGAACTCCATATTTACATTGGGGCATCCCTGTTCACAGCAAACTATTGGATCGAAAGCTGTTGGCATTTCTGCTACAGTTTCCCAGAGAAAGTGCCTGGAATGCAATTGGTACCTTAAGCTGGAGTAACTATATTGGTGTAAGTAGTGGCAGCAGAAGGAAAAAGGCCACAGGTGTAGCAGCCAGGAAGTTAGTAAGGCATCAGGTTGCTCAGAGTCAGCAGATTTGATTTGTCTTCCATAATCCCCATCATATGACCATTGAAAAAGTACAACTGTGAGTATAAGTGTACCAATAGGTACCTGTCCTATGTCTCTACATGATGGATGGACCTTTGATACAGACCTGACTGACAATGTATCACAGTCCTATAGAGGAACACATAGTGATGGGTCACTACTCAACAATAACGGCATCTGAATTTGAGAACAAGGCTTCATCTACATTGTGGAATTAATGCAGTTTGGTACCTCTTTAACTGTCATGGCTCAGTGCTATGGAATTCTAGGATTTGCAGTTTTGTGAGCTATTTATTCTTCTTTGTCAGAGAGATCTGGTGTCACAACAAACTACAATCCCAGGATTCCATAGTATGGAGCCAAGGCAGTTAAAGCAGTGTCAAACTGCATTAATAATAATAATAATAATAATAATAATAATAATAATAATAATAATAATAATTTATTTATACCCCGCCCCTCTGAGCACAATTAATTGTGCAGTGTGTCAAAAGCCCAAATCTTTTGAAGATTTTAAGAGTCCAGACATCAGGTGATTCTGTTTTCTGAGACATGCAAATAAATCCCATAGAAGCAATGGTTTGCCACTAACTCTTAAGCTGCTCACACAAGCAAAAATATTTCCGATTTCCCATTGATTGTTCAGTATTCTGTTTCACTTCCTCCCCCTCCTGTTCCTCTATCATCGTATCAGCTAAATAGCATATCACATTTAATTTTGGGGGTTAGTGTTTTTATTCTCTTTTAAAAAAGAAATATGGAAGGAACATGCTGGGAATTAAAGAGGTTTCTTTGGCTTGCTGGAATATACTTGCAGTGAAATCAGCCTCCCCTCCCCACAGTTGCAACCATGCATGAGGCAGGAATTTGCTAGTTACTTCAAAGGTATGCTGGGACTTTAAACAAGGAACACAGAAAAGGAGCTCTTTGTTACAATTCAATAAACTAGCCCATCTCCTTTGTGAATCATTAATGATGCTGAAGGCCTGGTAAATTTACTTTGGCGGTAAATCCATAAATGGCATGGGAAGATGTGGTAGAATGATTTTCATATCTGACTTTAAAATAAGAACATTTGGGTTGAATAGAGGCTACAGGGAAGAGAGAAACTGAGAATGGGTGTGTGCGACAGGGGCTAGAATAAGGGAAACACTGCATGAGATGAGGGGGCAAGAACATTATTCCTGACCAAGTAGAAGTCAATCAGAAACTGGATATCAGCTTCAGCTGGGACAATATTTGGTTTTGATATGCTTGCATCAATACTACCAAGTTCCTCTCTGCAAAGTTGATGGATATGGTTTTAATCTTTGCTTTGATCCAACTGCTTATTTTATAAGGTTCTCATGCAATTTTATTTACCAGAACCATTATTTTAATTTCCTGAAATCTGCATGTTTTGTCTAGAAAACATTTGTGATTGGGCTGCAAATATATGAAAGAGAGAGAGAGAGAAAGCGAGGATTCATCCTTACTTTCTTTGTTAATGAACCACATTCCTTCTATCCACCTGTACTGCATTTGTCTTTTAGACATTATCAGCACTCTGGGAGCTTGTTCACACAAGAGGTGGCTCCCTTATAATAACCTTAACTATGCAGAGGACCAGTGCTATAGTCGTACCTGGAGCAGACAGGACTTAAGTTACTGTTTGTGTGAACTGGTGCTTTCATGTATCTTCATCTGTGTAAGTGACCTGACCTTTATATGACGAACACAATTTGAAGCAGTGGGGGTTAAACACCATGGTGGGAATTAGGGTCGTTCCACTATTTCAATGCTTTAAGGATCATATTTAAAATACCCCAGACACAGAAAACTAGCATATCAGGAAATAAGGCCAGATAAGGCTCTTTTCTTCCTGCTGTTGAGGGGAGTTGCAGACTGCCAGAAATAGTGCAAATTGAGTCCACTTTTAGAGTTATGGTTAGGGTTAGGGAATCATGGGAAGTGTATTTTATTGTGGCACCAGAGCTCTCTGACAGAGAAGGCTCAATGTCTCAGGGGGAAAAAAATTCCCATGATTCCCTAGCACTAACCCTAACCCTAAAAGTGGACTCAATTTGCACTATTTCTGGCAGTCTGCAACTCCCCTTAGTTTACTATCTACCCTTCCTGAGGAGTAATTCCTATTGAATTCAATGTGGTTTGCTTCTGAGTTGTCACAGACATTATTTGTGTTATCTGTATGAAAATACTCTTCAGGTGCATTAGCTATTCTTCAAAATGTGCATTTAGCAGAAGTGATTGTTAAAATACAATTTTATTTGAGAAAGAACCATGGGGGCTGCCAGAGCCCAGGGATTGTAACCAGAACCAAATCAGTTCACCATGGCTGATAGGTTGAAAGTGGACCCTTGGTATCTGCTGGGCTTTTATTCCAGGACTCCCTGTGGATACCAAAATCCGTGGATGCTCAAGTCCCATTAAATACAATGGCACAGGAAAATCATGTCCCTAATATAAAATGACAAAATCAAGGTTTGCTGTTTGGAGTTTATATACATTTTAAAAATATTTTC